TAGGGAAATCCCTGGGGCTGGGTTGCTCTGCTTCCTACAACTGCCAGCGAGTGTGGGGGTGGGACCATCTGCCCAATCCCTGGTTTAAGGACCACGCCCCCTACTAATACCTTTGGCCTGGATGGTAGCCCTGAACCATTCAAGTAGTATAGATGTGAGGGAAGAAGCAGTATAAGATGGAATGGAGCCATGTGTCCATCCAGGGCAGACAGGGCCAGCCAGGCTCAGTGACTTTCCCAAACCCAGGGCAGGAGGCAGGGAATGCCAGCCACCATCAGGGGCCCACCCTGCACTCTCCATGGCTTGGACCCAGCAATACTTCCAGTAGGGGAGCTCACCTCAGAAGGCAGGAGAGAGAAGGATGAACGTACTACTGCAAACGTTCTTCACAGCAGTATCCCCAGCTGGGGACTCGTGCTGTGAGCCTCCTTGCAACAGTTATTAACAACCAACCAACCGCCACAACAGCGTAACTGGCATTAAGAATGTTTTACTTATATTGGACTATTCAGATCCTGGAATAGAACCCGGGAGTCCTGGCTCCCACCACCCCCTTGCTCTATAGACCTTACACTCCTCCCAGTGTCAGTGCTAGAACCCAGGAGTTCTGGCTCCCAGCTCTGCCTGCTCTAGCCCACTAGGACCCCCCTCCCAGAGCTGTACCCCTCTGGGAAGGGAGGAGTTTCTCACATTGGTGTGGGCAGGTGGGCCCAAAGCTAGGAACAACCATAGGACCCAGATGCCCTGTGGCCTGTGCTGCTCTCCTGGACTCTGAGGCTGGCATTGGCTTGGCTCAAGGTCAGTCACAGGGCCCAGGACTTACCCCCTCCTGGATGACAGTTCTTAGCAGCTCCTGGACAGGGGCCACTTGCTATGTGATCCCTCACTTTGGGGACGGGCTGGGACAACCCCCCTTTGCCCCAGCGCCACCTCTCCCCAGCCTCCTCACTTGCCCGTGCTCTGCCCCTAGCCTGCTGCTTCCCTCAACTGATGCTGCCTGAGGGACCACCCTGCTGCACTCCCCAGCAGCAGGGAAAGCAAAGCAACGTGGCCCAGCTTGCTCCGCTTCCCGCCCATGAGTGTGGGACAGTCCCCCCCCGCCGACATGCCTCGAGAGCAGAGAGAACTGGAACTGTGCTGGCTCGCTTTCCCCATCACTGCAGGTGTGTGGATCCCTGCTGTGCGCACCAGCTCCCCCCCCCACTAGCTTCCCTGCCAGCTGCTGGCCAGTCCCTTGCCCCTCCTGCTCATGGCATTTGGGGAGCATGTCCCCCTCATGCCCTCCCTACCCAGAGCAGGGGCAACACATAATTCCTGGGGGGAGGGAGAGGAAATAGGATGCAAGAAGGTGCTTGTTTATTCTGAGGATACTGGGTGTATTCTAGGGATACAATAGTGTAGTCGATTAACCGATAAGCAAAAGCTTCCAGGTTAATGCTATAGACCAGTGTTTCTCAACCAGTGGTATGAGTACCCTTAGGGGTACTTGAGAGAAGTCTGGGAGGTACATCAACACAACTGAAATTTGGAGAAAACTGAATTTGTTTTAGGTTTTACAGAGTTTTATTATGTTTGTACTCTTCAAACCCCCAAATGTCATCACCTGCCCAGCTATGATTATGTTGTTTAATTTCAAACCCCAAAATGTCATCACCTGCCCAGCTATGATTATGTTGTTTAAACAAATGTGTTGCAATGGTTTAAAAAAAAAAGTGTGTATCTGAAAATTGTAGGTCCTGGGTTATCCCTTTAAAAAAAGGTTGAGAAACATTGCTATAGACTACACACATCTCTGCCCCTGCCAGTAAATTTTTTAGCAGGCAGGCCAGCAGCTCAGCTCAGTCCCAGCTTGCCCTGGGTCCTGGACCTACCCTCACTGTGGCTCTGTGTTTAAAGTGTATTAGGAGCCAGGAAGGCAGGCAACCCAGCTCAGTTCCAGCTCATGCTGGGTCCAGGAGCTCAGTCCCCCAGCCCCCTAGACAGGGGCTGCCCAGAGACTATAGAATAATTGAGTAACCAATAAGAATTCATGAGGTTAATAGACAATTCAATTAACCGATATTTAACATCCCTAGTGTATTCCCATCCCCATTCAGTCAGTATCTCCCTCTCCCTTTGCAACTCTGGCGTCACACCTCTGGGCCCTTCCACCCCAGTGTCTCCTCTCTCTGCTGCCCCAGATCCAAACCACAGGGCGAGCCACCCCAATATTCCCCCCTAATGAGCCTTTCCAGCCCATATCTGCCCCCCAGAACAGACCAATGGTAAAGTTACCAACCTGGCACCCCCATGTCCACTGTCAGTGACTATTCTGTACAGCTTCATTTATTGATGCATGGGAGGGAGACAACACATTGTCCAAGGGGGTTACCCAGTTGGGCTGTCAGGGGATGTTACTGTCTCATCAGCCTCCTTGTCTGGTTGGCTCCCAGAGGGGGGGGCACCACAAACAGTAGCCAGGCCCAGCTGGTCACAGCTCAGGATCTCAAGCCGGTCATCATCCTCACTGGAGGGGCAGGCAGGGACCCGGGGAGGAGCAAAGAATCGGATAAGGTTGTGGGTCTCACGCAGCTCATAGATGGTCTCCAGGGCCAGCAACATGGCCAAGAGCCCCACGAGAAGTGGCTCCCAGAGGGGGGGGCACCACAAACAGTAGCCAGGCCCAGCTGGTCACAGCTCAGGATCTCAAGCCGGTCATCATCCTCACTGGAGGGGCAGGCAGGGACCCGGGGAGGAGCAAAGAATCGGATAAGGTTGTGGGTCTCACGCAGCTCATAGATGGTCTCCAGGGCCAGCAACATGGCCAAGAGCCCCACGAGAAGGTAACCTGGGGGGGAAAAAGAGGAGGACCAGGGGGCTCAGATGGGATTTCTCCCCTTTCCCTGTGGTGCAGCCCCCCCCACTGACCACTGCCCTGCTGCCTGCGGCACAGCCCGCCCATCCCGCTGATCCCCCCGCCCTGCTCCCTGCGGCACAGCCCTCCCG